CGGCAGGTGAACACGCGGAGTGTTCTGTACGGGAGGTGAACACGTGGAGTGTCCTGTACGGCAGGTGAACACGTGGAGTGTCCTGTACGGCAGGTGAACACGTGGAGTGTCCTATACGGCAGGTGAACACGTGGAGTGTCCTATACGGCAGGTGAACACGTGGAGTGTCCTATACGGCAGGTGAACACGTGGAGTGTTCTGTACGGCAGGTGAACACGTGGAGTGTCCTATACGGCAGGTGAACACGTGGAGTGTCCTATACGGCAGGTGAACACGTGGAGTGTTCTGTACGGCAGGTGAACACGTGGAGTGTCCTATACGGCAGGTGAACACGTGGAGTGTCCTATACGGCAGGTGAACACGTGGAGTGTCCTATACGGCAGGTGAACACGCGGAGTGTCCTATACGGCAGGTGAACACGTGGAGTGTCCTATACGGCAGGTGAACACGTGGAGTGTCCTATACGGCAGGTGAACACGTGGAGTGTCCTATACGGCAGGTGAACACGTGGAGTGTCCTATACGGCAGGTGAACACGTGGAGTGTCCTATACGGCAGGTGAACACGTGGAGTGTCCTATACGGCAGGTGAACACGTGGAGTGTCCTATACGGCAGGTGAACACGTGGAGTGTCCTATACGGCAGGTGAACACGCGGAGTGTCCTATACGGCAGGTGAACACGTGGAGTGTCCTATACGGCAGGTGAACACGCGGAGTGTCCTATACGGCAGGTGAACACGCGGAGTGTCCTATACGGCAGGTGAACACGCGGAGTGTCCTATACGGCAGGTGAACACGCGGAGTGTCCTATACGGCAGGTGAACACGTGGAGTGTTCTGTACGGCAGGTGAACACGTGGAGTGTTCTGTACGGCAGGTGAACACGTGGAGTGTCCTATACGGCAGGTGAACACGTGGAGTGTTCTGTACGGCAGGTGAACACGTGGAGTGTTCTATACGGCAGGTGAACACGTGGAGTGTTCTGTACGGCAGGTGAACACGTGGAGTGTTCCTATACGGCAGGTGAACACGTGGAGTGTCCTATACGGCAGGTGAACACGTGGAGTGTTCTGTACGGCAGGTGAACACGTGGAGTGTCCTATACGGCAGGTGAACACGTGGAGTGTTCTGTACGGCAGGTGAACACGTGGAGTGTACGGCAGGTGAACACGTGGAGTGTCCTATACGGCAGGTGAACACGTGGAGTGTTCTGTACGGCAGGTGAACACGTGGAGTGTCCTATACGGCAGGTGAACACGTGGAGTGTCCTATACGGCAGGTGAACACGTGGAGTGTCCTATACGGCAGGTGAACACGTGGAGTGTCCTATACGGCAGGTGAACACGTGGAGTGTCCTATACGGCAGGTGAACACGTGGAGTGTCCTATACGGCAGGTGAACACGTGGAGTGTCCTATACGGCAGGTGAACACGTGGAGTGTCCTATACGGCAGGTGAACACGTGGAGTGTCCTATACGGCAGGTGAACACGTGGAGTGTCCTATACGGCAGGTGAACACGTGGAGTGTCCTATACGGCAGGTGAACACGTGGAGTGTCCTATACGGCAGGTGAACACGTGGAGTGGCAGGTGAACACGTGGAGTGTCCTATACGGCAGGTGAACACGTGGAGTGTACGGCCTGTACGGCAGGTGAACACAGGTGAACACTTGGAGTGTTCTGTACGGCAGGTGAACACGTGGAGTGTCCTATACGGCAGGTGAACACGTGGAGTGTCCTATACGGCAGGTGAACACGTGGAGTGTTCTGTACGGCAGGTGAACACGTGGAGTGTCCTATACGGCAGGTGAACACGTGGAGTGTCCTATACGGCAGGTGAACACGTGGAGTGTCCTATACGGAGGTGAACACGTGGAGTGTCCTATACGGCAGGTGAACACGTGGAGTGTCCTATACGGGAGGTGAACACGTGGAGTGTCCTATACGGGAGGTGAACACGTGGAGTGTCCTATACGGCAGGTGAACACGTGGAGTGTCCTATACGGCAGGTGAACACGTGGAGTGTCCTATACGGCAGGTGAACACGTGGAGTGTCCTATACGGCAGGTGAACACGTGGAGTGTCCTATACGGGAGGTGAACACGTGGAGTGTCCTATACGGCAGGTGAACACGTGGAGTGTCCTATACGGGAGGTGAACACGTGGAGTGTCCTATACGGGAGGTGAACACGTGGAGTGTCCTATACGGCAGGTGAACACGTGGAGTGTCCTATACGGGAGGTGAACACGTGGAGTGTCCTATACGGGAGGTGAACACGTGGAGTGTCCTATACGGCAGGTGAACACGTGGAGTGTCCTATACGGCAGGTGAACACGTGGAGTGTCCTATACGGCAGGTGAACACGTGGAGTGTTCTGTACGGCAGGTGAACACGTGGAGTGTCCTATACGGCAAGTGAACACGTGGAGTGTTCTGTACGGCAGGTGAACACGTGGAGTGTTCTGTACGGCAGGTGAACACGTGGAGTGTTCTGTACGGCAGGTGAACACGTGGAGTGTTCTGTACGGCAGGTGAACACGTGGAGTGCACGGCAGGTGAACACGTGGAGTGTTCTGTACGGCAGGTGAACACGTGGAGTGTCCTGTACGGCAGGTGAACACGTGGAGTGTCCTATACGGCAGGTGAACACGTGGAGTGTCCTATACGGCAGGTGAACACGTGGAGTGTCCTATACGGCAGGTGAACACGTGGAGTGTCCTATACGGCAGGTGAACGGCAGGTGAACACGTGGAGTGTTCTGTACGGCAGGTGAACACGCGGAGTGTCCTATACGGCAGGTGAACACGTGGAGTGTTCTGTACGGCAGGTGAACACGTGGAGTGTTCTGTACGGCAGGTGAACACGTGGAGTGTTCTGTACGGCAGGTGAACACGTGGAGTGTTCTGTACGGCAGGTGAACACGTGGAGTGTTCTGTACGGCAGGTGAACACGTGGAGTGTCCTGTACGGCAGGTGAACACGTGGAGTGTCCTGTACGGCAGGTGAACACGTGGAGTGTCCTGTACGGCAGGTGAAGGTGGTAGTTGTACCTCCTCCACCAAAAACACTCCACCACCGCTTACTGCCACCACCATCATCACAAAACACAACTACCAGCAACTGTAACCACTATAATCACTGTCATCTACTGCCCATTACTACCACCATCTCATCACTACCATCACAATCCATCGTCTCACAATCCACTGCCACCAACAACAACAACAACCTCACAATCCACCACCACCACCACCAACAACCTCACAATCCACCACCACCAACAACAACCTCACAATCCACCACCACCACCACCAACCTCACAATCCACCACCACCAACAACAACCTCACAATCCACCACCACCAACCTCACAATCCACCACCACCACCACCAACCTCACAATCCACCACACAAACACCACCAACCTCACAATCCACCACCACCCAACCTCACAATCCACCACCACCACCACTAACCTCACAATCCACTGCTACCACCACCACCACCAACCTCACAATCCACCAACAACAACCTCACAATCCACCACCAACCTCACAATCCACCACCACCAAGAACCTCACAATCCACCACCAACCTCACAATCCACCACCACCAAGAACCTCACAATCCACCACCAACCTCACAATCCACTACCACCAACAACCTCACAATCCTGGGCCCACCCACCCCACCACCCGCCACCACCTCCGCCCACCACTTAACGACCACCCACCGACACCTCCGCCCACCACCACCACCCACCACCACCACCACCACCAGAGGCAGGAGGTGGCGTCAAGGGACTTGAGACACGACGCTCGGAGATCGATAGAGAGCCTAGTCTGCTCCACACTGCTGCCGCCGCCGCCGCCGCCGCCACCACCCAGTCTTTGTTGTCTGTGGTGGCAGGAGCTGCTCCTTGTGGGCCAGCCGCCGGCCGCCACCTCCACTGCACACACACACACACACACACACACATACTCAAACACACACACACACACAGCTGTTCTTCTGCCCTGGCAACTGGTCCCCGTCCACACCTACTGTTGGAGACTGTGTGTACGTCTGTCTCTGTTGTTAGTGATGTCAGGTGTTTGTGGTGGCCTCGCTGCAGGTACTGGTGCTGTTGTCAGTGGTGGTGGTGGTGGTGGTGTCAGTGGTGGTGGTGGTGGTGGTGCTGTTGTCAGTGGTGGTGGTGGTGGTGCTGTTGTCAGTGGTGGTGGTGGTGGTGCTGTTGTCAGTGGTGGTGGTGGTGGTGTCAGTGGTGGTGGTGCTGTCAGTGGTGGTGGTGGTGCTGTTGTCAGTGGTGGTGGTGCTGTCAGTGGTGGTGGTGGTGGTGGTGTCAGTGGTGGTGGTGCTGTCAGTGGTGGTGGTGGTGCTGTTGTCAGTGGTGGTGGTGGTGGTGCTGTCAGTGGTGGTGGTGGTGTTGTCAGTGGTGGTGGTGTTGTCAGTGGTGGTGGTGGTGCTGTCAGTGGTGGTGGTGGTGCTGTTGTCAGTGGTGGTGGTGGTGGTGCTGTCAGTGGTGGTGGTGGTGGTGCTGTCAGTGGTGGTGGTGGTGTTGTCAGTGGTGGTGGTGCTGTCAGTGGTGGTGGTGGTGCTGTTGTCAGTGGTGGTGGTGGTGCTGTTGTCAGTGGTGGTGGTGGTGGTGCTGTCAGTGGTGGTGGTGGTGTTGTCAGTGGTGGTGGTGTTGTCAGTGGTGGTGGTGGTGCTGTCAGTGGTGGTGGTGGTGCTGTTGTCAGTGGTGGTGGTGGTGGTGGTGTCAGTGGTGGTGGTGGTGCTGTCAGCGGTGGTGGTGCTGTCAGTGGTGGTGGTGGTGTTGTCAGTGGTGGTGGTGGTGGTGCTGTCAGTGGTGGTGGTGTCAGTGGTGGTGGTGCTGTCAGTGGTGGTGGTGGTGTCAGTGGTGGTGGTGCTGTCAGTGGTGGTGGTGGTGCTGTTGTCAGTGGTGGTGGTGGTGGTGGTGGTGTTGTCAGTGGTGGTGGTGGTGCTGTCAGTGGTGGTGGTGGTGCTGTCAGTGGTGGTGGTGGTGTTGTCAGTGGTGGTAGTGGTGGTGTCAGTGGTGGTGGTGGTGCTGTCAGTGGTGGTGGTGGTGTCAGTGGTGGTGGTGCTGTCAGTGGTGGTGGTGGTGCTGTTGTCAGTGGTGGTGGTGGTGCTGTTGTCAGTGGTGGTGGTGGTGGTGGTGTTGTCAGTGGTGGTAGTGGTGCTGTCAGTGGTGGTGGTGGTGCTGTTGTCAGTGGTGGTAGTGGTGCTGTCAGTGGTGGTGGTGGTGCTGTCAGTGGTGGTGGTGGTGTTGTTGTCAGTGGTGGTGGTGCTGTCAGTGGTGTTGGGTACTGGAGGCAGTAGTTATGGTACTGGAGGCAGTAGTTATGGTACTGGAGGCAGTAGTTATGGTACTGGGGGCAGTAGTTATGGTACTGGGGCAGTAGTTATGGTACTGGAGGCAGTAGTTATGGTACTGGGGGCAGTAGTTATGGTACTGGAGGCGGTAGTTATGGTACTGGGGGCAGTAGTTATGGTACTGGAGGCAGTAGTTATGGTACTGGAGGCAGTGATTATGGTACTGGAGGCGGTAGTTATGGTACTGGGGGCAGTAGTTATGGTACTGGGGCAGTAGTTATGGTACTGGAGGCGGTAGTTATGGTACTGGAGGCAGTAGTTATGGTACTGGGGGCAGTAGTTATGGTACTGGGGCAGTAGTTATGGTACTGGGGGCAGTAGTTATGGTACTGGGGGCAGTAGTTATGGTACTGGAGGCAGTAGTTATGGTACTGGAGGCAGTGATTATGGTACTGGAGGCAGTGATTATGGTACTGGGGGCAGTAGTTATGGTACTGGGGGCAGTAGTTATGGTACTGGGGGCAGTGATTATGAAACTGGAGGCAGTAGTTATGGTACTGGGGGCAGTAGTTATGGTACTGGAGGCAGTAGTTATGGTACTGGGGCAGTAGTTATGGTACTGGGGGCAGTAGTTATGGTACTGGAGGCAGTGATTATGGTACTGGAGGCAGTAGTTATGGTACTGGGGCAGTAGTTATGGTACTGGAGGCAGTAGTTATGGTACTGGAGGCAGTAGTTATGGTACTGGAGGCAGTAGTTATGGTACTGGAGGCGGTAGTTATGGTACTGGGGCAGTAGTTATGGTACTGGGGGCAGTAGTTATGGTACTGGGGCAGTAGTTATGGTACTGGGGGCAGTAGTTATGGTACTGGGGCAGTAGTTATGGTACTGGGGCAGTAGTTATGGTACTGGGGCAGTAGTTATGGTACTGGGGGCAGTAGTTATGGTACTGGGGCAGTAGTTATGGTACTGGAGGCAGTAGTTATGGTACTGGAGGCAGTAGTTATGGTACTGGGGCAGTAGTTATGGTACTGGGGCAGTAGTTATGGTACTGGAGGCAGTAGTTATGGTACTGGAGGCAGTAGTTATGGTACTGGAGGCAGTAGTTATGGTACTGGGGCAGTAGTTATGGTACTGGAGGCAGTAGTTATGGTACTGGGGCAGTAGTTATGGTACTGGGGCAGTAGTTATGGTACTGGGGCAGTAGTTATGGTACTGGGGCAGTAGTTATGGTACTGGAGGCAGTAGTTATGGTACTGGAGGCAGTAGTTATGGTACTGGGGCAGTAGTTATGGTACTGGGGCAGTAGTTATGGTACTGGAGGCAGTAGTTATGGTACTGGAGGCAGTAGTTATGGTACTGGAGGCAGTAGTTATGGTACTGGGGCAGTAGTTATGGTACTGGAGGCAGTAGTTATGGTACTGGGGCAGTAGTTATGGTACTGGAGGCAGTAGTTATGGTACTGGGGCAGTAGTTATGGTACTGGGGCAGTAGTTATGGTACTGGGGCAGTAGTTATGGTACTGGGGGCAGTATTTTTATGGTACTGGAGGCAGTGATTATGGTACTGGAGGCAGTAGTTATGGTACTGGAGGCAGTAATTATGGTACTGGGGCAGTAGTTATGGTACTGGAGGCAGTAGTTATGGTACTGGGGACAGTATGTATTTATGGTACTGGAGGCAGTAGTTATGGTACTGGGGCAGTAGTTATGGTACTGGGGCAGTAGTTATGGTACTGGGGGCAGTAGTTATGGTACTGGAGGCAGTAGTTATGGTACTGGAGGCAGTAGTTATGGTACTGGGGCAGTAGTTATGGTACTGGAGGCAGTAGTTATGGTACTGGGGCAGTAGTTATGGTACTGGGGCAGTAGTTATGGTACTGGAGGCAGTAGTTATGGTACTGGGGCAGTAGTTATGGTACTGGAGGCAGTAGTTATGGTACTGGAGGCAGTAGTTATGGTACTGGGGCGGTAGTTATGGTACTGGAGGCAGTAGTTATGGTACTGGGGCAGTAGTTATGGTACTGGGGCAGTAGTTATGGTACTGGAGGCAGTAGTTACGGTACTGGGGCAGTAGTTATGGTACTGGGGCAGTAGTTATGGTACTGGGGGCAGTAGTTATGGTACTGGAGGCAGTAGTTATGGTACTGGAGGCAGTGATTATGGTACTG